AACAACAATAAAAAAAATAATTTGCTACAAAAATTATTGCAACCAGAGACGGTTATGCTCAGGGAAATAAGCCAATCCCAAAAGGACAAATTCCATATGTTCTCTCTACTATAAGGCAACTCTCATGCAAATATAAGATCAATAGATATATAGGTAAACACACATATACATATATTTATCTAAAGGAACTGTACAGGGGAGACAAGCACACTGAGAAGTGAGGATACATTGCAGTATGCATCTCTACTCCTGAATAAAAAATGGACTCCCAAAGAAGCTGTTAAATATATCTTGCTAATAGGTTTCTGGACTTTCTGTCATTGTCTATACCCACAATGTCATGGCACATTGAAATAGCAGAATGATGGATTTGTAACTGCTGCTGAAAGAAACTATATAGGGGGAATTGGTAGCGGGTGTAGGGGAGAGAAGGAGGGTGAAAAGGGAAATTTCTAAACCTATGGAATTATATCATGAAAAATACAAATTAAAAAAAAATGCAAACACAGCCAGGCCCAGAGGGAGTGTAGTTAGGGAGGGTAGGGCTGTTTTTATCACCATGTGAAAGCTTTCACAGTGGCCCCACATGTGACCACTCACTGTCCTTAGGTCGGGCAGATCCATGGCTTGAGGGGCAGACACTGCACTTCCCACACCTGGCCTTCCACCACTGGGGACCCCCTAACAGTGCTAAGTGTTATCCTTCTCCTAGGCTTGGCGCCCCAAAGGAAGGCCATGTGTAGACAATGAAACTCGTGAGATGAGCCTGATAGGCTCAGAGAAACAGGGGTGGAGATATTGGGGGTTCCACAGGGAGAGCTGGGGACTGCTTGACCTCATGCAGAAACAATCCTGGAAGTCCTGCAGAAGGCCAGACTGGGCGCTATTATCAGAGCAGGCAGGAGGGAGCGGGGTCTTTGCTATGAATTCTGAATTAAGTTTGCTACGTATGTGCTAGGCACTGCACTTCCCAATGCACAGGGACGGCATCCCGTGTCATTCTGGGGTAGGTGTGCTCTGACCCCACCATGTCTTGGTGTGTCCACCTCCACCGTCTCAGGTGAAGCCCCTTTCCCTCCAGCCCCACAGACGTGGGTTCTGCCAGTGTGACCAGCTTCAGCTGCTGCTTCTCACCGTCACCCTTCCCATCCTCCATGCAGTGTCCAGGACGAGGGTTACTGAATGTATCAGTGAGCTCCCAGATCCTTCCTTGCCTACTTTGCACTTCCCCTTCCTGACCTGATTCCCAGGTGGCATTTAGTGCACTGAATCAGGCACTGCCTGGGATTCCCACATCTCAGAGTTCCAGGTCTGAGTACTGGCTCCACATCTGACTCCATCTTGTATCAAACGTGTGCTTTGGGTGACAGCAGGGGATGGCTCCAGTCCTGGGTTTCTGCCACCCAGTTGGATGATGTTCCCATCCCCTAGCTTTGCCCTGGCAAAGCCTTGGCTATTGCAGCCGCTTGGGGAATGACCCAGCAGATGGGTGATGCCTCTTTATGTATGTTTGCCTTTCAAATTAAAATGAGAGTAAATAAATAAAAATTTAATAAAGAGGAATGGCTCAACTTTCCATCACTCTGACCTGTGTAGCAGTCCTTTCAATGTCTGGCCCTCACCTTGCCCTCATTTGCATGTGATTTCTTTTTAAATTTGAGTTTCAAAAAGAAGAATTGGATGAATCACAATCTTCACTCCATGTGCTTCATACCGGGAGGAGTATCGTTTAATATACTCGCCACCATTGTTACTTAGACTCATAGTGATTTTCAATAATGTTAGAAAATGAGACACTGTAAGTGACACAAGCACTGGGAGGCATCTGAGAAGCAGTGTACAAAATGAGTTACCCAGATTTTCCAAGTTCCTGCTGTGCGGTTCCACCTGTGCACAAGGAATCTGGAGCAGGCAGGATCATCATGGCAGAACGCTGACTACAAGGGCCGGGTGTGGAGGGCAGACAGGAGCGAGAGCGGCTTGGAGAAGTGGGAGTGCCGGAACCATGACTGTGGTGGTGGCGGCCAGACTGTGTCTGTCAAAACTCACTAAACTTTAAATTCTTTAATAAAGATTTTTTATGTGAAAACCAGAGCTATAGAAAGAGGACACGCACACACACATGCACACACACACATAGATCTTGTATCTGCTGGCTCACTCCCAGATGGCCACAATGGCCAGGGCTGAGCCATGCTCAAGCTAGGAGCCAGGAGCTTCACCCAGCTCTCCCATGGAATGCCAGTATTACAGGCATTAGTCCTACCTAATACACCACAACACTAACCCCCCAAAGTCACTACTTTTAAAAAATTATCCAAGTTTTCTTTTAATGGAAACTGGTATATTTCACATGTCAATTAGCCTTCAGAAAGGCCAGACCAAAGCTAGAACCTCTGGCGACCTTTGATTTATCCCTGTTGTCTATCCCAGGCTTGAGCCAACTGTATCCAGGTCCCGTGTTTCTCAGACTTTTGCTCCCTACTTTCACCCCATGAAATAGTGAAAAATTACATTACGACTTACTCGAAAATGAGGATTAGTATTTTACTTAGGTTAGGAAAGAAAGGTATATTAGGAAGTCATCTAATCTCAATGACAATCATTTATTAGCAATCCCAAATGTCACAGTTGTTTTACAGCAAGCCTCTAGTAAAATATTTACAGGCAGGTGCGGGAGGATTCCACTTCTTTCTCTTAGTCCAACGAGAGAGCTCCACGGGTGACAACACTGGCGCTCATTTCCGTCTAATTATTAAGTGTAGGTTGGATTGAAGGTTGCTGCACAGTAGCTGGAAGTGCTCCAGTGTCTGCCAGATTTTTCCTTAATTGAATTCTTCTCCTGCATTTTCTTTAATCTGCGGAACTCTTCTGGATATCTCTCATCCAGCCCTGTGACTAAACAAACAAAGGCATGTTTAATCCAGGCAATGATGACACGTCCAATGGCATTTACACACCTGGCGGTATCTTAATAGCTTCATCTGAAGTAACAAAGGAAGCCTGCAGTGAGGCAGCTTCCCCCAGGAGCTCACTGATGTGGCATAGTTTCTTTATAATTTAGCCAATAGTCCCCACCTCTGGTTAAACCCAGTCAGTTTATTACTGTCAGTTGTTTCGTGGTAGTGCTCAAATACTGACAAAGGAACATCTGTTATGTTATCTTTCTTTGCTCCAATCTCCACCTGGACTTTATTTGCATTTTGGATAACTGTGCTGTTGACATCTTCTGTTATGAACTTGACCTCTGCTAGGGAAGAAACAACTTCTTTTACCTCCTCACTCATCAACATTTTACTCTCCATTATATATATATTTTTTTGTTTAACATATTTTATCTACTTAGTTAATAGAGAAAGAGAGAGGAAAGAAGAAAGAGAGAAATCTTCTATTTGCTTGTTACTCCCCAAATGGCTCCAATAGCTGGAACTGGCTTATCTGAAACCAGGATCCAGGAACTTCTTTCAGGTCTCCTCCATGGGTTCAGGGGATGAAGCTCTTGGGCCACCCTCCACTGTTTTCTTAGGCACAGGCACATCAGCAGAGAGCTGGATCTGAGGCAGACCACCTGCCACTCAAACCTTCACCCATGTTGGATGCTGGCATTGCAGGTGACAGCTTAACCCGCCATAATACAGCACGGTTCTTCCATTATCTTCCTTAAGAGTCATCAAAATAAATCAGTAAGGCATCAGACTTTTTCTTCAGGAGGTTTTGGCCTGTCTGTGCACCTGTTAAGTGAGCCCTCAAGATGGCTTTTGTCTTTGCCTGACATTCTGAGAGTGACTGCTTGACTCTGGTACCCCACTAGCCAACAGTGGCTGCCTCAGCTCCAGTACTGGCCACCACTGTACCTTACTCTCTTTGCTTCTCTTCTATATAGTGCTATCCATCTGTTTGTGGTCCTTAAAACACATCTTCCCACTTTAGTTGTTTAGTTCTTTAAAAAGGAAATAATGAGAGTGTGAATTTTTATCCTCGTAGTTAAGACATTGAAATAGCTGCATTTGATTCTCAGGTTTGGTTCCCTGGTTTCATGACCAGGCAGAAGATCCTGGGAGGCAGCAGTGAGGACTCAAATAATTGGGTTCCTGTTATGCAAGTGGCAGACATGGCTTCTGTTTCTGTATCCCAGCTCCAGCCCCAGCCCAGCCTCAGTCATGTGGCTATTTGAGAAATAAAGCAGTGAACGGGAGGTAGAATTCTATGTCTCACTCTTGTCTTTCAATTGAAAAAGGACTGACTGCAAGGACATTTGTTCCAATAGTCAAGATGCTTTTTGGGACACCTGTACCCCAGTATGCCTGGACTTGATTCCCAGCTTCCAGTTAACATACTCCCTGGGAGGCAGCAAGTGATGGCTCAATCCCCTGGGTCCCTTCAACTCATATGGGAGACTTGGATTAAGTTCCAGTTTACAGATCTCAACCTGACTCATCCCCAGCTGTGGCAGGCATTTGGGGAGATCTTTTTCTGTGTCTATCTGTCTACGTCTCTACCTGTTAAAAAAAAAGAACACATTAAAAAGAGAAACTGCTTGATCAACATAGAGTGGATGCTCAGCAAGTTCTCTTTATTGAGGTGAAAACCTCTTTATTGAGGAGTGAAACCTGAGACTCAGAGAAGTGAAGTTGTGAACCCAAAGTCTCAGAGCTGGGAGGTGGCCCAGGCAGCATGTGAACCCAGGTCTCAGGGGTTCCAGCACCCTTGCTGTTTCCTGAAGGAGGTGGCAGGTTCTGATGCCAACCCTCTATTCTGTTTCCCTGTTGTCAGTTGGTCACCCAGTACCACCTGTGCAGTCACATGGTGCAGAGAACCCTAGGTCTTTCCACTGGCTGTTGCTCTTCTATGTGCAGTGGGAGGGGACCCAGCCTTTACACATGGGAGGCCTGGTGCTGCACCACCTGTTCTGGGAATTGGGCGCAGTCCAGCCTCCTCTACTTGCCTCTGCCATTTATTAGAGTCCAGAATTTCTTGCTTCAGTCCTTTTCAAACTCACGATGCTCCAGCTGCTGAACTCCCTCCTCCTTGTGGCCCTGGGTAAGCCCCCAACTCGAGCCTGGTCTCTGGGCCAGGAGCCCTGAAGTCTGCTCCTCACTCTGGGTCCTGTGATCCTAATACCTGCTTCCATAGGAGGGGTCTCAGCATGTACCTGGGACATGAGGGCTTTTGGCTTGGTGCTTGGGAGGATAACAGAGGGGACAGCAGGGGCTGGACCAGCTCAGGAGAAGGACTGGGAACAGCATCAGGGGATATGGAGGAAGTCCTTGGTGGGGAAGAAGACAAAACCTCATGGTTAAGAGTCTGGCTCTGTGCTTAGTCTACATGGAGTGGAATTTCCACTCCTGTGCTGAATGCTCTAGTTCTCCGCTCATGCTGTCCCTATGGTCCAGCCTTTTCCTGGTCTCTTTGCCATGCTACATTATAACACAGGGCCACCTCCTCTGAATAGCCACAGCTACCCTCCTGAATGACAAGTGTAATTAGAGATAACGTTGCCTGAGTAGTTAATATATGCCAGATAGAATAAAAGAACTTTTTCTTGTATGAACTCGTGCATTCTCGAAGAAGGTCCATGTAATCGGTACCATTATTGTCCTCACTTTAGAGACAGGCGTGCTGACCTTCAGAGAAGTAAAGCGGCTAGTCCCAGAACAAGGACAAGGCTATGCTTTGACGTCAGGGAAATTATTTCTTGTTTTTAAAGATTGATTTATCTGTTTTAAATGCGGAGTTACAGAGAAACAGGAAAAAAGGGAGCGAAGAAGAGATAAAGAAGAGAGAAAGAGAGAGAGAGAAAGGGAGAGATGTTTTTATACATCAATTCACTCCCCAAATGTCCACAATGCCCTGCTCCATCACGGCTGCCTGCTAGGGTGCACATTAGCAGGGAGTTGAAATGGGAACAGAGCCAAAAACAAAATCAGGCACTTTGATTTGGTGTCAGCCATGGCACCAAGTGCCCACTCCAAAGCCTCCACTGTCTGTCAGCAGCCATCGCCATGGCAGGGCTCCTTGTCTCCAGCCTGTTTTACATGACACCCTCAAGTCCTCCCCATGAGGGAGGCTGCATTTTTATCTCTGTCTTTAGCTTCCTGGGACCCTGAAAACTTCTGCATGAGCCCCAGCGCTCGCTGTTCAAAGGTAGATACTGAGGGCCAGAAAGGAAAAGCTGTTTACTTAGGGTTCATACAGACCATCTGTGGCACAGCTGGGACTGGGGCCTGCCTGCCTTTCCTGTTTGGGTCACTCTGGTAACTGACACCTTTCTTCTCTTCTTTAGCCTCAAGCTCTGACCATCTTTCCCACAGCCCCATCAGTCACACAGTCAGTGGTGAGGATGCAGTACCCCACAGCAAGCCCTGGCAGGTGAGAGCAACGCTGACTCTCAGCATGGCCTCTGGACCCCAAGTTCTGATGCAAGGCCTTCAGCCTTGACCCCACGATGGCCTTTGCAGTCCCTGCTCAGCTTCCCAGGGTCTCAGTCCTTGAATCGTCTGTTTCACCTGGAGAGTGTGTCTGTTCCAATTGGAAAACTTAGGGTTTTTTTAAACAAATGAAAAGGCAGAATCTGGGGCCAAAAAAGGTTTTACTCCAGGGGCTGGTGCAGTAAGAGAGGAATCCGGGCACTATGTAGAGGCAGAGACGGGGACTCGGTTCCAGGTCCTTGAGTCCCAGAGCAGGGCTCTGAGGTCTGGAGCACAGAGAGTGGAGAGTTGGATCAGCACAGTGGAGGGCAGCACTGAGGGTGAGGCTTGCTCTGCTGTGGAGCACAGTAGCTATTATCCACATGGGGTATTGAAATGTGAAATAAATAAATCCAATAATACTGGAAATTCAATTCCTTTTCAAGTATCCTAGAGCAACATGTGGCCAGTGGTTCCCACCTTGGACTGCAGAGACAAAAAACATGTCCATAGACTAGATAGAATACTCTCCAGGGTCAGCAAGAGTGTTCTGGGAGGGACAGAGAGTGAGTGCTGTAGCCCTGTCAGCCACATGGCTCCTCCAGCAGTGACTTAGCCCTGCCATTGCAGCAGGAAAACAGCCAGAGAGCATGTGTGCCTGAGTGAGCGGCCTGTGTGCAGTCAGCATCTGTGCACATAGACCACGCCAGCCTGGGGCCATGGGTCACACTGCCAAGGACCGTGGGTCTCCTTGGTTTCCAGGGAGATACTGAGAATCTGAATGAGCAGGAAACAGGAAAGGAGCCGAAGGAGTCAGAATGAGTTGTGCTTCAGAAGCTCCGAGAGTTCTGGAAGAGCTAAGGTGCAGGAGAATGTGGCCCAAGAGTTCAGAATTTCTTGGGGATTCTTAGCATTTAGAAGGTTCGGGGATGTCCATGAGGGCAGAGAATATTGGGGTCCTCAGCGAGATGCAGGGCGGGGAGACTGGAGAATCACAGTGATCCTGGCGGAAGGGGCTGTGCTTTCTGGGTGAAGTGTCTTCTCTGGTTGTGCAGTGCTTGACTTATACAGCAATGCTCCTTGTGGGCCTGGACCTCTCAGACGGTTTCTGTCTGGGCCACCAGACTCTCTTGCAGTACGAGATGAATGGGGGCTGGTTCTTCATCTGTGGCGGAACCCTCATCAACCTTGACTGGGTCCTGACTGCTGCCCACTGCATCTCGTGAGTTATTCTGCCCCATTCCTGACCTTCCCATTGTCCCTTTGTGAGAATCAGGCAGCCCAGGCCATGGAGTGGTCCATGGGGTGGCCATGGGAGCTCGACAGTCCAGATTAATCTCCGTTCCCCTGGCAGGAGCTCCCGAACATATCAGGTGGTATTGGGTGAGTACGACCGGACAGTGAGGGAAGGACCGGAGCAATTCATCAATGTTACAGACATCTTTGTGCACCCACGATGGAACTCCAGCTGCGTGGCCTGTGGGTGAGTGAGCTCCTGGCTGGGGGCCAGGCTCTTGTGTCGTTCCTTCCATGACCAAAGCTCATCTAGGAGATGTGGGGAAGATGAGCAGCCTGGGCCCAGCTCACACACACTGAGCGGAGCCTTAGAGACCAGCAGCACCAACCTCCCTGCCTGCACAAGGGACAGCAGGTCCAAGGAGAGGCAGGGAGTCCCCCAGGGCTGCTGGGCTCAGTGTCCCTGGAGCCCAGAAGCCTCAGGTCCCTTCCCCAAGTCCAAGGTGTCCTGTGCTCAGCAGAGGTTTCTCCAGCACAGCCTGGGTTCCTGGATGTGTGGGCAGGGGAGAAGCGCTGGACTGAGAGTCAGGCTGTGGGTGTCCCTCCCTGAGTGTCCTGGACAGTGAGTGCCCTGCTCTGGGCTCAGGTGTCCACTTGTCAAGGTGACCTGTAACAGGGCTTTGTGGTGGTGGAGATGGGCAGGGAGGCCCTGCTCAGTGCTCACCTGTATGCACACCTGTGTGTCGGGCGGGAGGTGGGGGAGGGCTTAGCCCTTTTTGGTGAGAATCAGAGGAGAATGCAAAATGCCCATTAAAGATCTACAGGGATGAAGACCTTGGCCATGTTCACAGGGCTCCTGGGGAAGTAGGAGACAAGTGAGAACCAGGTGAAATGTCCTGACGACAGCAGATGGAGCAGTTGTTCCCAAGTGTGGTTTGAGGGGCAGCAGCACCAGCATCGGTTCAAAACGTCAGACTTCAGGCCTTGGCCAGACGCAAGCTCAGATTCCTAGAATGGGCCCCCTAGCAAGCTCAGATTCCTAGAAGGGGCCCCCTAATACACATGGTTGGAAAAATGTTTCCTTGCTTTTTTGAGAGGATGAGATAAAGAGAGGAAGATTCCATCTGATGGTCCCCCACCCTCAGATGCCTGCAAAGAAACTGGGCTAGGCAAAAGTCAGGATTCTACACTCCTACACTGTGTCTGGTCTATCAGGTGGGTGGCAGGGATCCAGGCACTTGGCCAGTGCCTACTAACTCACTGTACACATGAGCAGGAAGCTGGCATGGGAAGCCAAGTTTGAGCCAGGCACTGTAATATGGGATGCAGCCTCTTGCCCCACACGGTGTGTCCAAGCTCTGCAGGCGTACAGCTGCAGCTGGAGTGTGAGGATCACACATGGAAACTAAGGACATTCCAAAGGTCAATATCTACCTAGACTGAAGGGGTCAGAAGGCTTCTGAAGGCTGCTCTGCCTCAAGAGTGCACCGGGGTGGGGACTAAGAAGACATGGGGTTCCTCCAGACATGAACACTTGGAGCAAAAGTCCTATTTAATGGGACCTGGCCCACCGGAATCTTCCCTCCTCGCAGGAATGATCTCGCTCTTCTCAAGCTGTCGCACAGCGCTGAGCTGACACTGCAAGTCCAGCCTGCCTGCCTCCCTCCTGCAGGCTGCATCCTGCCCCACGGGACGGAGTGCCTCATCTCTGGCTGGGGCTCCACCTACAGTATGTGCTGGCCAGGGACAAAAGCAGAAAGACAGGGCCAGGGCAAAGGCCAGGGATGTAGCATTTTTGTAATAAAAAAAGGTGAGGATGGTAGTATTGGTGGGAGGAGTCTCCAGCAGTAGAGATGTGGGGCTCTAACACCTCAGGTCTGCAGCCCAGCCCTCCACTGGGCCCTCTCTCACTGTTTTCTGTGCCTGCAGCCGGTGGGCCACTCCCCGACAAGCTGCAGAAGGGGCAGCTGCCCATGGTGAACTACACATACTGCTCCCAGCCGGACTGGTGGGGCTCTACGGTGAAGGAGACCATGGTGTGCGCTGGTGGGGATGAAGTCTCTGCCTGCAACGTGAGTCAGCTTACTCCCGCCCATGGTCCCTCTGCTGTGTCCGTGGAGGCAGAGGAGCTGTTCTCCAGCTGCCTCAGTCAGCCTCCAGGCCACGCATGACATAGAGGAAGTCAGCACAGCCCACACACCCTGACTCCTGGCCCAGATCACACGCCCCCTCACCTGGGACCATCACTGTCCCTCCTCCTCCTGCTTAGGCTGCCCCAGCAGCACAGCAGGGACACTCGCACCACCACCTTGAGTCACCCACTCTGGGCTCTGCAGGGATCCTCAACCACCGTGCTGTGGGAGCTGAGTCCTCCTAAGCCGCGGGGAAGGTGCTGCCAGCAGGGGGCGCTGGCGTCTCTCGGGGCTCCCTCTGTGCCAGGGGCTGTGCTGAGGTCCTGTGTGGGTCCCTTCCTGCTCAGCAGCTGTGGTAGCACAGACCCTGGTCCTGGCCAGCTGAGGCCCTGAGGCTGGGAGAGGTGCAGCAGTGTGGGTGTGTCCGCAACCCCAGGTCAGGGAGAATTCCTTCCAGCTGAGACATGGCTCAGTCCCTCTCCTCTGACCATCACAGGGTGACTCTGGAGGACCCCTCACTTGCCGCGGAGTGAATGCTGAGTGGGAGGTTCATGGTGTCACCAGTTTTGTTTCTGGTTTTGGCTGCAACACAGAGAAGAAGCCCACGGTGTTTACGCGTGTGTCAGCCTTCATTGACTGGATTGAAGAGGTGAGGACTGGGCAGCCAGGAGGGCTCTCCTGAGAGGGTCTTGGGGACAGGGGAGAAAGGGCAGATCCTGGTGAGGAACTGTGGGATTTCTAGAAGGGCACTAGGGGAGGGGCCTTGGGGACATTCCCGAGCGGCCTGTGGATGTGCTCTGCTCTGTGTGGCCTCAGAACTTCCCCGGCTGTGTGCCTCTTTATTCAGCTAGGGTTTCTCAGTGTGTCCACTGCTTGGGTCCTTAGTTGTCCTAGAGGACAGAGGGACACACTGCCACCTGGTGGAGGAGATATGAAATGAGCAATAATGGTGTAGGATGGTGAGAGCTGTGACTGTGTAAATCATGGCCCCAGCATTATGTGGGAACAGCTGGTCAGACAGGGTTAATGCTGTTCATGAGAGTATGATCATCATTGATAGACTCACTAACATGTGCACCAGGGAGTGTCATGGGAGCCTTAGTGGTTTAACCCTGAACCCCCTCGAGGTGAATAATATCACCACTCCCTCTAGGGATGGAAATTGAGGCACACAGAGGGCTAGTCATTCTCCCAGGTCCACAGGGAATGAGTGATAGGCTGGGGGCTGATCCCGTTCCATGTGACTCCCATGTCCCTATTGCTAAGTGGACTGCTCTGTTCCCTCCCTGTTTTTTTTTTTTTTTTTTTCCAGACCATTGCTAACAACTAGGAACAAGGCCCAGGTGCCGGTGCTGATCTCACATCTTCTAAAAACCGAAGATCTCTTAGAGTCTTGAGCTGGATCTTCCTTCATGGACTCTTCTGCGTTGGCCTGACCCCAAGGTCTAAGAACTGCAGCAGAGTGAAGTACAGCTCCAGCAAGGACACATGTCAATCACTGTCAATCTTGTGTGTTTCATTGTTCTTCCCTCAAAGGGAACATGTACTGTTTGCATTTAGTGTTTGGTTCAGAAGGTCCTCTGCTGCTTGCAACACAGATCTCCTACAAAGAAGTGCCCATTCAAGCTCCAGCCACCCTGCTTCCAACTCAGCTGCTTTTCAGTGGGTCTGGAATAGCAGTGAAAGATGCCCAGGTACTTAGATCTCTGGTACACCTGTGGGGTATCAGGATGGAGCTCTATGTTCCTGACTTCTGCTTGGCCCATCGCTGACAGTTGTGCCACTTGGGAAGTTAGACAGTGGAGAGAAGATCTCTTTTTTCCCCTGTTGTCATTCTGTTTTTGAAATAAATAATCTTTCCATACTTGGATTTGACACGAGGGGGAGGAATGGGCAGGAGTTCTGGAACGACACAGATTTTTTAGCAGAGTTGAAAAGGTCAAGTGTCCACTTCTTCCTGTTGGGCAAGAGCAGTTCCATTGTGGAATTTTCCAAAATAACCTTAGGATAAGAGCAGTGAGATCTGATGGGCAGGCAGTGTGCTCCCAGGGGAGTTTCACCCAGGCTCAGGAGAATGCCGGGAACTGCTATGACCCCTTCTCGCCACACATGGGCAGCAGGGACAAGAGGTTTTTGCTAAAATCTGCCAAGAATTTGGTCCACATTTCAAATCATCTTTTAAAATATCTTTAGGTACAAAATTCAATCTTTCAAATAACTAGTCATATATATTCTGGTTGTGGTGTTATGGCTTTGTGGATTAACCTGCTACCTGTGACACAAGCATCTCATATTGATTTGCTGACTCAAGATGGTCTCATGTGGAGATCTAGATGGAATTTCAGGCTTGTCGCTTTGACCCGGCCAGTCCTGGTCAATGTGGGCATTAGGGGTGTGTAGCAGATATTGGAAGATTTTTTTTTTCTGTCACATCCTGTTTATCTGCTTTTCAAACAAAATAAACAGATAAAAATAACTTAATTGTCTGAGTAACATTAATGTTAGGAAAATTTTGCTTTTGCTTTACAAATAATTTTTAAGATATTTATTCAGTCTAAAGGTGTATTTATTATTTGAGACGAGCAGAGAGAGAGATGGAGAGGAAGAAGGAGATTTTTAAAATTGATTGCATTGCATTATGTGACACAGTTTTGTAGGCACTGTGATTCCCCCCACTCCTCCCCAAACCGCCACTCCCCCACCCCATGGTGGATTCTTCCACCTTGTTGCGTTACCACAGTTCAAATTCAGTTGAGATTCTTTCATTGCAAGCATCTACCAAGCATAAAGTCCAGCATCTTATTATCCAGATAAGTTCAACGGTTTCTTGGGGAGACCATCTCTGGTCTGAAGGTAGAGCCAGCAGAGTATCATCCCGATCAATTAAAAGCCCCGACATTACATCAGTAACAATTTATAATGTTATGGAATTAGTTGACATGGTATTGAGTAACCAATATGTTATAAGAGAAAAAAAAAAAAGAGTGCAAGTTCTGAACCACATCCTGTGACTTCTACATTGACATTTCACTTATTAGTGTATGTACAACTGGGTTCTATACACCTTAAAATGGCTATAGATTACTATTCAGCTGTCTCATGTCTATTTTAATTTTAGTATTTAGTAGTTTATAGCATTGAAGCATGATTTTGCTGAACCTGGCCATTTTCGGGTAGTCTAACTCTATAACTCTAACAAGACATATGTTAACAGTTTAGGTGAACAGTTTTAGGAGGGGTGTGCAGAGAAATCTTCAATACCCTAGTTTAGAGTAACTAATCTTTGTGTCCCACCCAATGAGTTATAAGTGCATCCTCGCTGACCGCTTCCTGTCTGATTCCAAGTGGAAGAAGGAGATTTTTAGTCTGTTGGTATACTCTCCAAAAGTCTGCTGCAGCAGGGGTTGTTCCTGTTCCTGTTCCAAATCCAGGAGGCAGAAATCCCATCTTCATCTCTTATGTGGGTGCCAGGGACCCAAGGACTTCAACCACTTCAAATTTTTTTACTAGGGAAGAGTGACAGGAAACTGGATTAGAAACTGAATAGTTGGTGTTTAAACTACCATTAAATATGGCTAACTGATGTTGCCAGATCAACCCACTGTGTCCATAATATCAGTCCTAAATGCCATTACTTTGATGATTCTTTCCATGACTTTTCATCTGCATTGAAAAATCCCTATTAACAATGAGTACATTGTATGTCAGGGCTAGAGGCAGAGGAAAATGTTCCAAACCTAGCCAAGTCCACAGGTAAACTAGGAGGCCGGGCTCCCTCCTAGGATGGCTCTCCATGGAGTCTACTATAGGCCCAGAGCGGTGTTGGCCTAGGAGCTGGGTCACCCTGGGGCAGGGTTATTGGAGCTCTCCATGGCTCTCATGTGTTTATGATGGAGGCATGTAGGTGCTCTTGTCAGAGGTGGATCCATCATGGGCTGGTGTTGCTTCTCAGCAGGTTAACTTACTACCTACAATACACACATTCCATAAAATGGAGCACACATACAGTCCCAGCTTCTCCATTTCAGACCCAGCTTACTTCTTTTGTACCTGGAATAGCCCAATTTTGTATCTGATAATAGCCTGGTTACTTCACCCTGTGCCATGGGAAAGACCAGGATTGAATTTCTGGCTCTTGGCTCTAGTCTGGCCCAGACCTGGCTGTTGTGGTCATGTGGGGAATGAATCATTTGGTGGAAGATTCTCTGGTAATGGTCACCAGGGCACAGTGCTAGAACCTTGCTCTCTGACGTCAGAGATTCTGCTGAGATCTGATGGGTCAGATTAGAACATCCAACTCTAATCTAGTGGTTCAGGGCCAGAACCGGACTCTAAGAAGTAGCCTGGACTCCCCACCAGGTACAGAGCTGCAGACACTTGCCTATACTCACCTGAATTCATGATGTTCAAGAAAACAGAATCATGACTCCAATTCTTAACCCAAACCAGATGTTAACCCGTTTACACAGCTGGGGTCACTTTGAGCCTACCAGCACTGTCTCTCTTGCTGGATCAAGTTAATAAACTTGAGTTTTCCAAAGTACAGCTGTGTCCTTGCTGGTTTTCCTCAGATGGGCTTCATCATAAAATTTGACTTTTTTCCTTAATTCACTCATTTGTTCCTCAATAATGTTTACCCAGTCTATGCTCTGTTGCAAATTCTGAGGACATGGTGACAGGATGGAAGAAAGTCTTTAGCCTTGTTCATGCTGTCTGCAAGGTATGAGAGAAAGGCAAGGGTGGGCCTACAGTACCACCATGAAGATGTCTCTTAAGGCAAGTTCATTCCATATTGTGAGCAGTGTCTGGGTTCAGGTCCCCACTCCACTTCTAACTTCAGCTTCCTGCTAATGCACACACTAGGAACCTCGAGTTTCTCCCATTCATGGGGAAGACCTGGATGACATTCCTGGTTTTTGGCTTTTGTTGGGCCCATTCCTGGAAATTGCAGTCATGTAGGGGATGAGCCAGCAGTTAAATGTCTCTCTGTCCATTATCTCTTTCATATTTCTGCCTTTTCAAATCAATAAAAGAAAAATAAATAAGTACTGTTGATCATCTCCTAACTACAGGAGTGTGTTAGGTAATGCTCCTGTGAACCGAGTGGGAATCTTAAGAAAAATGAAAAGGGAAGCAAAAATAATAATAATAATAATATGACATGGAAGCCTATATGTGTATTGCACACCTGGGGTGATAGGTGTCCCGGGCATGTCTGCAGGAAGGCTTATTTCACACAAAGTGGAGGAGAGTCAAGGTTTTGGATCACGATAACATTGAGTAGCTGGGGGTTGATGTTCATGACGCAGAATTCCTGTATTGTTCTTCAGGAACATCTGAAGGCATCTTGCTGAGCTTTTTTGACTGTCAGCCAGGCTTGTGAAACACTTAAGTTTTATGGCTGTGGGGACCTGGCTCTAACATATGAGCCAGAAAATAAACAGGTGTAGCCCCGTGTTGATAAGGTTATATCCTGAGGAACAGCACTAGTGAGCTTGGTGGTTGGTTTGTTAAGTTAGGTGGAGAAGGGAAGGGAAGTTGCCTTGACTATGGTTGTAATAGCTTAGCGGGTTAACATGTTGCCTGAAATGCTGACATTTAACACGAGCAGCAGTTCAAGTCCCAGATGCTTCACTTCCAACCCAGCTCCAGGAAAGCTGCAGGTCCAAGTGCCTGGTCCCCTGACCCACATGGAGTTTTAGGATCCTGGATATGATCATTTAGGGATGACAGCAGATCTCTCCCTCTGTAACTTTACCTTTCAAATAAATAAATGCATCTTTAAAAGTAGAGAGTGAAGAAATGGGGTTGGGCAGAGTATAACTTTGAATTTTTGCTTGAATTATCTCACTTAACTAAAACCTGTAGAATTGGAGCTGCTCTGGGACTCAAAGTGCTGTCTGCACCCTGAGAGTTTGCTGAGCCAAGCTGGGAGGGATGGATTAAGTCCTTGATTAATGGGTCCTACTTTTTCTACAGAAAGGGAAATCCAGGCTGGGAGAATAGGTGTAAGGTAGGGACACAGCTGTAGGAGGGAGGAGGGAAGGCTGCAGGCTGCTCTGATAATTAGGAGAAGGGACTGTGCAAGCAGTCTTGGTTCTTGAACTACCAGGTGGAGGTGATGGAAGGGGTTACAGGCCAGCAGTGGCAGCGAACACACAGGGCCCATCTCCCTTTCTCCAAGGACACTATCTCTGGGTAAATCACCCAGAAAGCAAATGGGCTTTGGAGTTCTCACTCTCTCTTTTTCTGTAAAGATTTATTTAGTTTTATTGGAGAGTCAGATGTACAGAGAGGAGGAGAGACAGAGAGGAAGATCTTTGCTGCCCA